CTTCACTAGGAGCTCCAACCTCATCAAACACCAGATCGTCCACAGTGGTGAGAAGCCCTTCTCCTGCTCCGAGTGTGGGAAGCTCTTCCGGCGCAGCTTCACGCTCCTGGAGCATCAGCGCATCCACAGTGGCGAGCGGCCCTATGAATGTGACGAGTGCGGCAAGACCTTCAGCCGGAGCTCCAACCTCATCGAGCACCAGCGCACACACCGTGGTGACAAGCCCTACATATGCAGCCAGTGCAGCAAGGCCTTCAAGGGTGTGTCCCAGCTCATCCACCACCAGCGTGTGCACAGCAGTGAGCGGCCCTTTGAGTGTCAAGAGTGTGGCAAGGCCTTCCGGGGCCTCTCAGGGCTGAGCCAGCACCGCAGGGCCCACAGTGGTGAGCGGCCCTACAAGTGCCCTGAGTGTGGGAAGGCCTTCGGCCGGCGCCCTAACCTTTTCAAGCATCAGGCAGTGCACAGAGGCCAAGGACCTCATGAGTGTCAAGACTGTGGCCCTTCTGCAGCATCAGCACGTCCACCGTGCTGAGTAGCCTTACAAACGTGAGAAGGGTGGGAAGGCCTTCTGTAGGGGCTCCGTCCTGGAGAGCCAGAAACATGGCCCCCATAGCCAGGAGCCCTTCAAGGGGAATTCGCAGTGCAGCCACTGGCAGAACACACACAGTGGGCGGGAGCCTTTCAAGGGTAGCAATGGTGGCAAAGGTGTTGCTCAAAGCACAGGAGCCTCTCCTGCCTTGAGAAGGCGTGTTGCAGAGCGCCACCCAGGGAACGATAAACATCAGGAAGACTGAATGCCAGGCTGTGTCATCCTCCACTAGTGTTGCCATCTCGGACCGGGAGTGCTAGGGGGTGCTGGGTCTGAGTGAAGACTCATCAGCGAACCGGACAGCAGTGCTGTGTGGGCACAGATGTGTGTGTGTGTGTGTGAGTGTGCGTGTGTGTGACCTAATTTGTCATTGGACTTTCCCTGTATGCATGTCCAGTGACTTTGAGTTCAGGGAAGAGTTAAGTGTTTTCAAGTTTGTAAGTGTGATGTCCCCTGAAATTACCCAAGAAATGATTGGGAAATGGACACGGGCACATCTGTCACCTGCCCAGGCTCATGTGCCTGAGGTGACACCCAGCCGCACAAGGTGTGGTTAGCGCCCAGGTAGTGGATCATGCAGAGTGGTCAACAGTCCGCTCTTTGCCCTTATGCCTGGAAGCACAGGTGGTTCTCAGCATTTCCTCTCAAGAGAAGTGCCCTTTTGCTCTGGTCCCTGATAGGCGTGGGCTCCAGGCAAGACGTGGTCTCATGGCAATTTGCCACTGCCCCCATGCTGGCTTTCATCTCCTGCCCTGCCAGCCCACGGCCACTGCTTCCTGCCTCCGAACACAACCCAGTGAGGGCTGCCCAGCCTCTTGGTTCCCCACCTTCAGTGCCTGAAGCTTCAAATGTATGTATGTCCTCCTTCGAGCAGCCTCCCCTTGTCAGTTGTAACCATCAGGGGCGAAGCAGGATGAGTAAGGCCTTTGCTCTCTGGTGGGCAACAGCGGTGACCCTGGCTGCATCTTTCCATGACGTGTCCTGGAAGATTGGAGGGTCAGTTGCTTTGAATGTTGCTGCTTTCAGATGTCATGTAAGCTGAAAATGGAGGTTTGTGCTAGATGAAAGTGTCAGGGAATAGCTCCTTAAAAATGAGAAAAACTCAGGCAGGAGAATGGTGGCCATCCAGACCTGACACCCCATGACTGTTGTCCCTCTTCTCCCCATGATGACACAATCCACCCCCTCTTCACCCTCAGCCCCACAGAGCCAGAAGCCCTTTCAGGTGGCACATTGCTGCTGGCTTAGGGAAGTTACCCAGGAAAGAGGTGCCATGCTGGGCCCGTGGCACTCAGCCAGCCTGGTCTCCCTGCCTCCTCAGAGCCCTCTCCACCTCCAGGGAAGAGCTGGGCTTTGTCCTACAGGCTGCCCCAGGGCAGGCAGGCGGTCAACAGGGTGGAGGCAGCCCCTTCCCGGTTAGATGGGAAAGGTTCAAAGACGATGTCCCTCAGGACTTCGACAAATAGGGCTCTGGCCTCTCGAGCTCTTTTTCTCTCAGTGTGGTAAAATACACAAGGTTCCTTCTGAGGATGCTGCTTTAGCGTGCCAATCAAGGCAGCCCCAGAAGTGAGATGTCTATAAAGTGATTTTGCACAGTTGTCAATTATAAAAAGTTCTAGAGTCCCTATAACTTGCTCTTAGTGCTTAACCTCTGTCAGTGGGTCTCTATCCCCGTGTCCTATCATTGCCTTCTTGCCCGCAAGCCTCAAACTGCAGGTCGTGTCCACTTTTGTATTCTCTGTGCCAAGCACGGTCCCTGCACTTAGAAAGTGCGGGCTGTGTGACTATTGCCCTCCTAATGAAAGGACCTAGATGGCTGAGCAGTAACCAGTTTCTCCTAAAGAAAAGTTGGGTCTCCCAAATAGAAAGCATTTCATAGCACTTGCTTTGCTTTATAAGCTAAGCTGACTTTTGATGTGGTGTTAGTTGCCATCAGCGTGTGCTCCACAGGGGTTTCCGAGCTGGTCACCAGGTCTTTCTAACATGGCACCACTGGGTGGGTTCGACTTGCCAACCTTTAAGTTAGCAGTAGGCGCAAACCATTGGCACCACCTAAGGACCTTCCTTTAACGTAAGCTCCTTTTTTGTCTTGGCACCTACCGCCGAGGATGACTAGCAATCTGAGTTTGGGGCTGTCCTGAAAAGCGACGAGATCTATGACACT